GTCCAAATCTTACTATACTTGATTTATCAAGGAGGTGAATTCTTGATAAGATTAATCTGGAAAGACAGTCCCAGTAGGTGACATTGGAAAATGCCTGATAACCCTACCCCATAGGTTTACCCAAGTTTTGTGAGTGAAATTAGGCAGATAAAACTGTTTGGAAACTGCCAATGGTTGTGCTAATATGAAGTTACAAGTCATTGTGACTGAGAAATCAAGTGTACTGGTCCCATTTAACTACTGATCAAGTTAGATTATGTGCATTCTTCCAGAAACTTTAACTAAAGTAAACACAACATAGGGTTGGCTGTGTGGGGGCTGAAGAAATGCATATGTCCCTGAGCAGATTTCTTCAATAGGGATTAGCTAGTTACTCTATCAGATGTATACATTTAGAAACAAGCAGTCAACCATTATTATTACATGTTTTTTTTTATATTATATGACGTTTTTCATTAAGAACATTACAAATTGACAGATGAGTTGAATTCAACTTACACTTAAAAACAATATTTCCAGAAACATGTGATTATCATCAGTTCCACTATTAAAGCCAAGAGAAATATGCTCTTTAATCAATTCAACTGTTGAAACCAAGAGAAATGTGCCTATCAACAACTGAAATCAAGAGAAATACACCTATTAACTATTAAAGCCAAGAGAAATGTACCTATCATCAATTCGGCTGTTGAGGAAAAGAGAATTGTACCTAGCATCAATCCAACTATTGAAGCCAAGAGAAATGTGCCTATCATCAATTTGACTATTGAAGCCAAGAGAAACAATCCTGTCATCAATCCGACTATTGAAATCAAAAGAAATACACCTATCATCAATTCAACTATTGAAGCCAAGAGAATTGTATGTAACATTAATCCAACTAGTGAAATCAAGAGAAATGTGCCTATCATCAATTCGACGATTAAAGCCAGGAGAAATGTGCCTATCATCAATCCAGCTATTTAAATCCAGAGAAATGCACCTATCATCAACCCAAATATTAAAGCCAAGAGAAATGTGCTTAACATTAATTTGACTGCTGAAGCCAAGAGAAATGCACCTATCATCAATCCAAATATTGAAATTAAGAGAAATGCTACTATCACCAATCTGACTTGTGATACCAAGAGAAATGTGCCTATAATTATGTTACTTCTCCAACGATCTATTTAAATAATAGAGATAATGTTCATGTATTAAGGATCATTATATATATTCATACAAATGAAAGCAATTGAAATGAGCAATGATAATTATATTATTATTCTTAGCTGTGTGTATATTAATCCTAGTTTTATCAAATGCATAAAAAGGTTTATATAGTCTGTTAATTGATAATACCAGAAAAGGACATTGTGTTGAAAATTAAGAATAGAGATAAAGATTTTTGAATTATATACTCTTCTACCTGTTCCTTAACAGTTGTTATATATATTAATTTAAAAACCTGGCAGGCAGTGACTGGCCATGACTATAAGCTTTATGCATCTGCCTGATGACTGTGTGCTAATACATGAAACACATGAAACTTATAGTCATAGTCACTGCCTGCCTGCCTGGTTTTTAAATTAATATTAAAGCACTGCCATTTTTTATCATATTGAACACTTTTACATCAGTGGGCTACCTTTGGGCAGACTCTTTCTAGAGCTGCTCATTCTTTCCTGGATTTATATATATATATATATATATATATATATATATATATATAAATTAATTGATTTAAAATATGGTTATTTAATTAATTTATAATATTAATGCTCTGTAAATTTACATTTGAGCACTATTTTGTAAAAATAAAATATCTATAAGAACACCGGATTTTATATCTTACTGTTCTTTCTTTTTTTATTTATATATATATATATATATATATATATATATATATATATATATATATATATATATATATATATGTGTGTGTGTGTGTGTGTATATATGTGTGTGTGTATATATATATATATATATATATATATATATATATATATACACACACAAACATAACAACTATTATGTGACTGTGATAGTACAATGAACTCAAACTGGTAACTGGTAGGTAGCTTAGGATACTTTTTCAAAGAATGAAAATCAATCTCAAAAATTAGAGAAAAATATGAAAATATTTTTTTTACCACTTCACAAAAAACAGCAAAATGTTAAAGAAGGTATCAATTTCTAAATTTTTGTTTTTGTAACTGTTTAACTCTCTCCTTCTTGAGATATTCTTCTTTTGGTTGTAGACCACAAAGCCAGCCATATTGATTAGTCTATTTTATTGGTTTACTTTTGGTGTTGGGCGGATGTATGTCTTGAGCGATGGCAGATTTAGGAAGTATGAGGGTCAGTTAAGTTCTTCTTTCTCATAAAGATACTATAAGCCAAGCTAGGTGATTGGTTTTCTAAATTGATTCCCTACAAAACAATGAAAGTAGCAAAAAGTATTGATCTCAAAAGTTAGAATCAGTTGTATAGTTACCAGGATATATATGAATATGTGTGCATTTGCAGGAATGTAAGTGGAAACATAAAAGTGAAGCCATGGAAATATATCTCTAAATATGAATATATAATTACATTCAGACATATAAATATTCATGATTTATATATATATATATATATATATATATATATATAAAGTATATGAGAATATGATATATAAATTTCTATATATCAGGACACTGCTAGGCAATTGAATGACAAAGTGGAATAATTTAATGCAACATGCTTTGTCCTCTGGAAGGATGTCATCAGACTAAAATAATGTTTTTATTGATGGAATTATTTACCTGTAAGAGGGGGGTGGGTGGTGATATAACCAATTCTCACATTTAAATATCTCAATATATGCCTACACATATATAATTCCACCAATAAAAACATTACTTTAGTCCAATGAAGTTATTCTAGACTCTAGAAAAATGATGTGTAATATGTTTTGTACTCTAGAATTTAGAGTAAAAAAACAAATTATATATATATACATACACATATTAAATATAAATATACATATACAGGTTGTGATGGGTAAATATGGGTATATATATATATATATACTCACACACACACACTTATGCATATCATAAAAGAGTGCTGAAAATTTCTCTGTGAAACCAAGAAATAATAAGATTTTTTGAAATGTGTCAGCAGAGATCAATTCAATACCATTTCAACATCTTTTATGTGTCATGCCTCTTCAGGAAGTTGGTGATCATGGCTCTCCACAATTTCTTTTCCTTTATAGGTCTTAATAAATTTTGACTTTTTGTTATCTCTCCTAAACCTTGCTCCATCATCCATCTACTGAATTTTGATAGGTATTTTATGTGTTGTTTTCCTCTTTCTCTCTTGCCTTCACACTCTCCTGAGATTATCAAATTTTCCAAGTCCTCTTTCCTCATTATGTGACCTAGTAATTTCAAGTCACTCTTCCTGATATTAAGTATAAGTAACCTTTTTGTTTCCATTTCTTCTAAAACTTCTTTATTGCTCACATGTTTGGTCCATAGTATTCTCAGCATCCTTCTGTAGAGCCACATTTGCATTGCTTCAAGTCTTGACTTCATCTGTGATGAGATCGTCCAGCATTTATTGCCTATAGGATGGCTGATATTATATAATAATTCAGTACTCTTTTCTTTGTTTCTACCAAAATGTTACTGTTTCTTAATTCTTTGCTTATCTTTTAGAAGGCATCTTCTGCTATCCCAATGTACTTTTAGGTTTCATTGTCACACATTGCATCATCTGTTAAAACACTTCCCAGATATTTAAATTGTTGTAGTTGTTGGATTTTGCTTTCTCTAATTTATAATTTTCATGTTGGGTACTTCTCTTAAAAGCATCATCTAGAATTATTCATTTTTTGGTGAAATACATTAGTTGATATTGTTTCTGTTGTATGCATAAATATATTGATGCACATTCACATATGCATGTGTCTATATTTACTTAATACCTCCTCATTGAAATGTGTATCCTTCATGTTGTCAGGGATGGGCAGTTTTCAGAACACTGGTATCTCCTTTCAGTTCTATTGTTTTTCAAAATTGTTTCTAGGAGAGGAATGTTTTTTACCATGAAAAAATATTTCAAAAAGCAACTGGTCAGAACAAACATTGCAAAACCTTTGCTTAGATTTATAAAGAAAATTTTAAATCTACTCCCATCAGTATTTATAAATTTTTACTAAATATAAAATCCTATCTTTGCAAACCTTTCCTAATCTTTTCAAAATTGATCAACTGAATATCCGTGGCATGATGCCAACCCATTGTTATTTTTTTGTGTTAACTTTTAATATTATGCTTTGTTCTTACAATTGTCTATTTTTTTGGTTCTTAATTTTAATTATATTTTTTATTTAGTTCGAACCCTTTGTGATCAAAAATTCTGTTCAGTTAATCATTCATTTCATTGACTCTCAAGCCAGACTTTTATATTGCTGTCTTCAACTTCATTTTTTCTTTTTTTAAAAATGCCATATCTCTTCAGATATCATAAATCTCCACAGCTTCCTTTACTTTATTATCTGTGAATTGCTAGTGGAGTGGTTTCCCATTACTTTTTCCATGGTTTGAACTTCAGTGTTTTAGGCTGGTTGCCATCAAAGTTTGAAGTGGGTTGAAAAGAGTTGTGCTTTACTCAAGGGTATTTGTGTGAAAGTAGAGGCAAAAAACTAAGCCATAATTTGAACTCGGCTTGCTGATTCTATTTTCCACACTGATAAAGTTACACCACCTGCACATCCTCAACTTTAGTTACACTAAAAGAATCTTTTTTTATATGCTCTGACTTTATAATAAATCCTAGTTACAAGTTTATCCAAATAAAGTCCTGTCATACAAGAGGTCTCTTTTACATATGGAGTGTCAGTTTTGTTAAATCCTATAAAGACATATAAAAATATATATCAATGTTAGTATATTTTTAGAAGATTTTTTTATTAATAGTTTTGATGGAGTCTCAAAAGATTTTTGAAATTAATTCATTAAAATGTAAATATGACTGTTGAGTTGTACCTAGTTTGTTTGGTTGCAGTGGTAAGTTGACTTATATAACAACGAGAAATATATAGGAAAGGAGAATGAAATGAGAGGTCTACAAGATAACAAGTTTATTCACCAACTGAATATACAGAGAAAATATAAAGGAAGTATTAAATTATCACTTTTTTGGAGAGTTCCTTAGAAATGGAGATAACCATACCCACAGTTTACTCTAACAATGACCAAAAATTATTTCTTTTGATGGTACTTCTTTTTTTTATTCATTTAAATCACCAATCGGGTAGGTTATTACAATCTTATTTAGTTCTCTTGCACATAGCTACAAATGTGATGAATATATTGTTATAATTGATAATCATAAAATTGAACCAGATAAAAGTATTAACAATATTAGTAAATATATGTCAATAATAATTAAGATTTTAGGGGTATAATAACCATCTGGTAGGACAAGTTGAATATGCGGGTGGATAAAAGTGATGCATTGTACCAATTTGAAAGATAGAAACAAAAAACAATAAGAATGATGAGCAAAGTATTAATTTGATTTATTATGCTTGACTATTATTAGTATATTTTCAGAATCATCAAATATAAACTTTTGATAAGAAAAATAATCTTTTTTTCAGTGGTACTCATCTATTATTGTTTGTCATTCAGAGGAAAAACTTCTGGCATGACATCATGTAGATCTGCTTCTAGGTTATTGAATAAGGCTCATCAAAGTAGATGGGATAAAATAAATATCAGTGAAAATGTTAGTGTTGTAAACCATTTAAATATCATGTGAGTTACAATTTTCCTCCCCTTCCTATAAATAGTCACTTGGTCAGTGACTCTAGCAGTTTGTACTTGACAAGTAGTTGAATGCGGCTTAGACAGTGGCGTAGCTAGAGTAAACGTCACCCGGGGCGGTCCACTCAAATATCACCCCAATGACCCCGATTCACCCTATGCTGAATGGTTAGCTGTAGCTAAATTTTCATACATGCTCTACCTCTACTTTATTCTACTGACCGGTACGTTACTGTTTACATGTATGATCCAAGACAAAATCCAATACCACAAAATAATCAGTTCAAATCAAAAGATTTTAAAATGAAACTGTTCACTTTCAGAACAACTAAATACAAAACATGGCAATACACAAAAGAATGACATTCGATACTATGGTCTTAGAATGAATGTTTTCTTGTTTTCATTGTGGCAAACTGGTCAATGACATCTTCAAAATCTGTTTGTCTTGTAAGCTCGTTTTCAATGGACAGCACAGCCAGATCCGACAGTCTCAACTGGCTCATGGTTGACGTAATTTTCTTTGCTAATTTTCCGGTGTCCAATTTTCCGTTGCATCATTTCCTGGGGTACCATTTAATTATCAATGATGTTTGAAAATATTTTCTTGACAAAATGTTCTATTTAATTTTTAAGCATTTTTTACATTGTAAATCAACTGCATTCTTTTAAAGGTTACCTAGAGAATTTATGCAAAGTTTATTTTTTTGTTTTTCTTTATACAAGTAAAATAAATTTATATCGTATTTTGATGTTATTATGATTTTAGTTTTAGTGATAATTTAAAAAACAAAAATATTTATCATTAGTACCAATAATGGAAAATTAAGTTAAAAATTTAAAAGAATCGTTTTTGGAATCAGAAAATAGGCACAAATTTTTCCGATACCCCAAAAAGTTCCGATTTTTCCACTTCTCGAAACCGATTCCTATTAATCGTCCCAACACTAGTAGATATATTCAAAAGTATATTGCTCACTCAATGGAAAATTGTATCTCAGCGAATTGATACACAGGCAAGACTGAAAAATTGTTGCACTTTACTTTTGGCTTCGTGTTACAACAATGTCTCTTGTTAGTAACTAAGATTGTAGCAACTGAAACACATGAAAGCTGAAAACATTGCTATTTTTCCTCCTCACAAATTTCCCGACAATTTATTAGAAAATTTCTGATGGGGGGACAAAACGGGGAGTGGTCATAAATTATTTCTGGGGGGTCATATGCCCGCCCTGTGTCTCCACCACTGTTTTCAAACTATTTTTGGCACCTTAGCCTGATTGAAAAATTTTGTTGGGGGGTGACAGTGTGTCACCCCCTCCTGTGCTGGCACCCGGGGCGTCCCCCCCCCTGCCCCCCGTTAGCTACGCCACTGGGCTTAGATTCACTTCAAGTCTTTTTTCAGTTACCAAGACTTACAAGAGTTAGCCTTGCAAGGAACAATACCTGAGGCTTCAAAACCTTTTGTAATATTTGCAGGAACAGCAGCTCAGATACAGCAATCCTTGACAACTGAAACTTAGTTATATATTGTCATTGATTTACCAGGACTATTTCTCTTATAATATTGTTATTAAGTAAAAACTATATTTACTAATCATAAATGTCAAAGCTGACTACAATTCAATATTTTTTAAAAAAATTTGAATTTTTTTGGTGTGTGTGTATAAACATTCTGATTCTGGTAAATACAGACAAACAGCAAAGTAGGTACCTCCACTCCACAGAAACGCAATACCTAAGTTTTAAAATGTATTTTAAAAAATGAAAAATCTTGCTTGAAGGTTTTATTTTAGTTTTAATTTCAAGCTAATAGATTAAATTTAGCATTTCCAATAAGCAAAATATTTTGCTCAATTTCAAAACTAATTTACATTCACTAGAAGTATTTTTTTTCTAACATAACTGATTTCAGTGTCATTTTTAGCTATTGTTTATTGCAATGTAATTCTCTTAAATATATATATATATATATATATATATATATATATATATATATAAACTACTAAAAAAGTTTATCCAGTTTTTTATGATGTACCCTCTCACAAACCATAATATTATTAGTAATTTTCTTCAATGATTACTAGATCAGTTCATTGACCTTATTGCTAAATCTTCTTTCTTTTAAATATACTTCATGAAAATTCCAGTTTATTTTTAAAATATTCCCATCAGTTTCATTAAGGAATTCAGTTTGCATCTTTTGTCATCTGTTATGCCATTTAACCTTGTGTATCAGAAATGTTTTTATTAGTGGATATAATCTTCTAATTCATTCTTGTTACAGAAATTATCTTCAGGTATTAAATCTGCAAAAATAAATCTTTGTTTCTTTTATATTAATTCTGTTAATAAGTAATTTGGATATCAAACATTTTTTACTACATGACACAGTGAAAATTGGCATTGACTTCATATTTTTTTATAAAAGAGTAATTAGAGTAAAAGAATATGAATATTACTTTTATTTTGCTAAACTGTTCATATAAATGATCTTTTCTCATATTTTCTTCACTGAAACAAAGTGAAAATAATGGATTTGTGATAATCAAATATTTTTAAGTGATTCATAATCTGTGAACACAAGAGAGAAAGAGAGAGAGAGAGAGAGAAAGATATCTTGTTTTAATAAGAAAAGGAAAACAAATGATAGTATATAAAAGAGTTCCATAAATTTTAATTTCAAAATCAATTCATAATCTCAACATATTTATGAGAAAGTTCATTATCATATTATTATAATTCTCATTGAAATTATAAAAATGTTTTAAATTTTGATTTTAAAGTGTATTTTCTTCATAAACTTTTAACAATTTATAATAAAAAAAATAATTTTATTCTAAAACACCTTAATTAAAATTTAAAAGATCTTATTTTATGAAGAGAATTTTTGAATAAAGATGACTATTTAAAATATTTTTCTTCTATTAGAAAATCATCTTATCAGCTTTTAACAATCTACACATTTGCACATTTTAGTTGCTTTTATGATTAACAAATTGATTTTACTATTCTTTGCTTTCATAATTTAGACAATGTGCACTATACAAAAAACATTAGCTTTATGAAGTATGGTTTTAGAATAATAATTACGAAACTGAAAAATCTTAAAAATTCAAAATTTTATGATAGATTTTATATGCTGCATATTAATATTGGATTCAAAGATTTCTTTTAACTTCATGCATATTATCATAAATATTAAGATAAGAGTTAAATTCATCAATTAATTTGTGCTCGTGGAAGTACAAGAAAATATGATCCATTGTGTGGTTCAGTAAATGTGGAAGGAATTAGTATGAATGTTTTATATAGTTTCTTTCAACATTTTAATCTTTATGATGAAGTTGGAGGAAAAATTTCTTTCTTGAAATTTTAATAAAATTAAAGACATTGACATTCCATAGATGCTGACAACTAAAATGACCAATTATATCATACCTCTACTTTTCTCAACATGCATTAGTTTCATATATGAAATGTAATAAAAAATGCATAAAGAATTTGCCACTTTTTTGTTATATATATATATATATATATATATATATATATATATATATATATATATATATATATATATATATATCTGTCTCTTTCAATAAAGAATTTACCACTCTTTTGCTCTTATTCACTCTATAAGAATTTGCCTCTCTTTGCTCTCCCCATAACAAATTTGCCTTTTTTCTCTCTCTCTCTTTCAGTAAAGAATTTGCCTCTCTTTTGCTCTCCCCATAACAAATTTGCCTCTTTTTTCTCTCTCTCTCTTTCAGTAAAGAATTTGCCTCTCTTTTGCTCTCCCCATAACAAATTTGCCTCTTTTTTCTCTCTATCTCTTTCAGTAAAGAATTTGCCTCTCTTTTGCTCTCCCCATAACAAATTTGCCTCTTTTTTCTCTCTCTCTCTTTCAGTAAAGAATTTGCCTCTCTTTTGCTCTCCCCATAACAAATTTGCCTCTTTTTTTCTCTCTCTCTTTCAGTAAAGAATTTGCCTCTCTTTTGCTCTCCCCATAACAAATTTGCCTCTTTTTTCTCTCTCTCTCTTTCAGTAAAGAATTTGCCTCTCTTTTGCTCTCCCCATAACAAATTTGCCTCTTTTTTCTCTCTCTCTCTTTCAGTAAAGAATTTGCCTCTCTTTTGCTCTCCCCATAACAAATTTGCCTCTTTTTTCTCTCTCTCTCTTTCAGTAAAGAATTTGCCTCTCTTTTTGCTCTCCCCATAACAAATTTGCCTCTTTTTTCTCTCTCTCTTTCAGTAAAGAATTTGCCTCTCTTTTGCTCTCCCCATAACAAATTTGCCTCTTTTTTCTCTCTCTCTCTTTCAGTAAAGAATTTAACTCTCTTTTGCTCTCACTCTCTCTCTCTCTCTCTCTCTCTCTCTCTCTCCATAAAGAATTATAATGCATCACAACAATTTTTATGCTTTTCTATTGCTGCTTACCTTTCAGTTGTTTTGCTCATTGCATCTTAATATCCAGCCACCCCAAAACTCCTTTTTATGCCTTTCTATCCTTTCAGCCCATAATATATTTATTTTTTCTTTCACATTTTCTCTTTTATATTTATTTTTTCTTTCACATTTTCTCTTTTATATATTTTTTTTTTCACATAGTCTTCTTTGAATTTTTCTCTCGTTTTCTTAAATCCTATATTTCCTCCTTTACACTCTTGTTTCCTTTCTTTCTCTTAATCATTTTTCCTGCTTCACATAATTATGTAGATCTCTTGGTTAGATTACACTGATACTACACTCTGATCCTAGTTAGGCAAACATAAAAAGGCAGAATACATTATTGGTTTTTTCTATATTTTTCTTTGCAAAAGATCTTTTCAGGATATTAAAAAAATCAAATTTGAAATCTCTTGGGTGAGAAAGAAAAGGAAGTCATTATTACTTCCTGTTTTTTTTTTCAAACATCCAAGATATTTGACTAAAATACATTTGTGGCACATTGAACTTGGTTCTTTATGAATGAGTGGAGAATTTATTGGTAAGAATATAAACTGTCTGAATCAGATATGAGGAAATATTCAACACAAAGGGTTATTCTTCATTTAGAACAATTGTTCAACAACAAAGTTCAGCTGTCAGCCCCATAAAGATAAAACACTGTAGGGATTTAGGAATCTCGAGCAGAAAAAATTGGAAAAGAAAAAATTCTGATAAAATATTCTTGCCATGTTATAAAAAGGTTTTCCTTTATATACAATTTTTTCCTTTATATAAGCAAAGTAAAACCTGATGAAAAAACCCTCAAATCTCCCTTTCTATGTCGTATCCCTTCAGGACATATGTGATCATGGCTCTCCACATCCTCCTATGCCTTGTAGTTCGAAATAACTTTTGTCTTTTTGCTACTACTCCCAGACCCTGTTCTGTCATCCACTTACTTAAGCCCACTAGGTATGTCATGCATTGCTTTTCTTTGTCCCTCTTTGACCTGTGAGAATCAGATTTTCCAAGCCTTCCTTTCTCATTACATGTCCAAAAAATTTCAGCTGTCTCTTCCTGATGTTAAGTATAAGTTTCCTCTTTGCTTGCATCCTCTCCAAAATCTCATTGTTGCTCACATGTTCAGTCCATGGTATCTTTAGCATCTTTCTGTAGAACCATACCTCTGTTGCTTTGAGTCTCTTCTTCATCTTTGAGGAGAGCGTCCAACATTTGCTGCCATAAAGGAGGAGTACAGTTCAGTACTCTTTTCTTTGTTACTAACAAAATCCTTTTGTACTAATAATACTCTGACTAGCTTTTGGAATGCATCTTTGGCCATCCCAATACGTCTTTAGATCTCAGCATTGCACTTACCATCCTAGCAGTTTGGTACTCTTTTCTTTGTTACCAACAAAATCCTCCTGTCTTGTAATAGTCTACTTAACTTTTGGAATGCATCTTTGACCATCCCAGTGCATCTTCAGATCTCATTGTTGCACTTTCCGTTGTCTGTCAGAACACTTCACAGATATTTAAATTTCTGCACCTGTTTGATTTTAGTGTCCACAACCTGTAAATCGTATTTCAGGCTCCACTATTTGCTGACAACCATGCATTCCATCTTCTTGTAGTTTATGCTTAGTTCCTTCTTCTCACTCTCCTTTGCTACCTTTCTGTTGGAGGTTTTGTCGTTTCCTTTTTATGTCTGCTATCAGCACTGTGTCATCTGCATATCCTATGTTGTTAAGATTATGGCCACCAATGATGAATCCTGGTAGGATTTCCAGTTACATTATTTTTAATAATCATGTAGCACTGAATCTAGAATCTATGCCATCTTATTCTCCAGTTCTACTCATAGAGTTACAAACATCCAAAATAAATTACTTCAATCAGAAATTTCCTTAAAGTTATAATTTCTATGGTTACTATATATGTAATATTATTATATAATATGGTTATTATGTCGTTATATTTACAATATATAACCATATTATTTTCTATAATAATATTATTTATATATTATTATATTCTGTTATATTGAGCAGGATGACCATAATGTCTTTCTCTCCTCATCTCTTCCTTAAATACCCTTGCAAATTGTTGCTGCTGCATCAGATTTTTTTTTGTTGTTTTTCTTTACACAGAGTGAAGTTGTTACCTCCACACCAAATTCAGAGTTGTCTTTCTCCTTGACTGGTTGCCAACCAAGGCTGGAGAGCCCAGTCTACCTTTCTATTTACTCCATAGCTAGAGAGAGAAGGAATGAATTTAATACATTTCCCAAGGGTATTTATGTGAATGTGAACACAACAATTTCAGCTGGAATTTGAACCTGTCTCAATGATTTCTCTTTCTGAGCCTATAACCCTTACACTAACGTCCCATGAGACTCGCATTAATTTCTAAAAGGTTACGAGTTAGCATATACATTTTCCCAACTTAAATGGCCTTAGATATCATTTATGATCTATGCATCGAAAACACATATCAATCCATTCTGTGCTTGACTTAAGAAAACAATATATTTCATTTAAAATCCTAATATCTTCAACAACAACACATCTTGGACATAAACTAGTTTTGCTTAGGTTATTATTATAATTATTTGTTAAGGTAATTAATTACTTTAGTTTACAGCATTTCTTTAAAGACAGATATGGACCCAAAGACAGATTTGCGATCCAAAGACAGATATGCAATGTGTTAAGCATCTAGACTCCAGTCACTTTCTCATGGATGTGATGTGGCTTCCCTCTGAATTTTATACAAATACTTTCATGGCATCTGCTCTGATGAGCTATTTTCACTGGTGCCCCAGCTGCATTAATTTAAGTGTACTACTAGGTTGGCATCTTGGTCCCACCCTTTCACTGTTGAAAAAGTTAAATGTAAATGTCTCTTCTACTCTAACAGCTTCTTCCCTCACACTTCCCAACAGTGGAACTCTTTTCCTCTTACTTGCTTCCCTGATAACTATAATCTTTAAAAATTTAAATGTAATGTCAAGCGATATCATCAGTTGCCTTGATCTTGATCTCCGTTCTTCTGTTTATCCTTTCCTCAAACACCTCTCTTTACTTTTACTTTCACTCTCTGTAATCCCTTGTATGCTAGTGACACTCCTGCCTTGCTTGGGGTGAAATGCTTAAATATATATATATATATATATATATATATATATATAACATTTACCAACATATAGTATGCACCTAATCAAGGAAGATTTAGAAAAAAAAAACTAATAATATTCAACTAATGATTCTTCTATACTTATAAATCATATATCCTCATTTTTTAAAAATATTATTTGGTTTGTAATCATAATTTAATCATTTATATACATATTTTAATCTGGGATCATTAGGAAATGATTGTTCAGATGTTAGCATTGATAACTCATCATCAGGGTATAAAATGCAGAGTAATTTTTGGAGATCTGTTTTGGGCAAAAGTACTTTCTATATAGTGTATAACAGTATTTATTCATATATTTTGGGGGCATTTTAAATGTGTAGTATACATTTTAATTTTGTATATTTTTGTAATTCAATAATTCTATTACTTCATACACAAGCCATTCGTATTTATATCAAACCATATTCTGATTGTGTTGCATGTCTGTTAGTATCTATGATAAACAATAAGATTGTAATTATCTGAATATTAATAGTTTAAAAATAGAGAGAATGCAGGGAAATTTTCACTAAATGCTGAAAATTAATTTTAAAATAACTGAGCCAGATAAAATTTACTAATATTTCAGGGATTCTGATATAAGCTATGTCTCTTTAGGACATGGGCAATCATCGCTCTTTCTACAACTTCCTACCTAAGCTATAAGTAATGTTTGTCTCCTTACTATCTTACCCAGTCTCTCTTCTTCCATTTATGCAAGCTTGTTAGCTAATTTACTTGATGTGTTTCTCTGATACTCTTGCCTTGAGTATGTCTTGTGTGTGTTAAATTCTCTAAGCCCTCTTATCTCATTATTTATTACAAAAATTTCAACTGTCCCCTTTTGAAAATGCTGATAATATTATTAGTTTACTATTTCTATAACTAATAATAATATTACATGTACTTGTCTGTAAATAGAATGGTGACTTCTTTAGTTTTTTTATTGGATATGAAAAATAATATGCTTTCTAATTTTCCACCAATAAAAAGAATGTTATAAATGCTAATGAGGTATAAAATACAGATACATTTTAACTGTATTCTCATCATGTTTAGTTCTTTCAATTTTCAGAAAATAAAAGTTAAACTGGCCAAACTTTTATCATGCTATCAAGTTGTACAGTGTTTCGGTTTATTCAAAGATATTTTAAGAAAGTTTGTTGCCAATCCAGTTCACTTTGCTTTCTTTCTGAAATTAATTACTCTTCTCAAGGCAATCAGACAACACACTCTTCATTAAACCGAGTAGAAAATTTCAGACTGAAGAAGAAGAAGAAGAAAATAATTACTTCATCATATTTCTGACAAGATGGCAGAATTGAAAGCCAAATAAAAGTTGACAAGATCATTCTACAATCACACCATCATCATCATTGATATTTAATTTCACATCTAATGAAACTTAGGTGGTTGGACAGTCTGAATTCAATGAATCACATTCACTTTGTTCACGTTAGTATTTGAAGTACCCTCACTTTGTATTGAGACCCATTTCACTTGATCAGAATTGTCAAAAATATAAAAACTTCATGAATATTTGTCTAGATTTCTGAGATGAGGTATTGTAAATATTCATACTATTTACTTTGTTTGTATTGTTGTATTCAT